AAAAAAAAAAAAAAAAAAAAAAAAAAAAACACATCTTAGTAAAACCAATACCTTCTCAGCTTCGCATCAAAGCTAAAAAACTATTCCATGAAAATCTGTATTAAGTGTTTATTTTTTAAGTAGAATTTTTTAAATATTCCAAAAGCAACATGAACTCCTATTTTCTTAATTATATCCTAGTTGTAAACTTTATTATGATTTATAAATATACATGAATAAATAATTATTATAGTAATTACATTTAGTATGACATTGATATTTAATAATATAGTATTTTTTTATTTTTACATAGGAATTATATAATGTTATTATGTTGAGATGAATTAAGATTCTATTATTATTAGCCAATCGAATTCTTTTTAAATATTAATTATATTATACAAATTATTTTTAATTTTATATTTTTCTTGATTTTTTAGCTACTAAGTATATTTTTAATTCATCTCTTACAATTAGCTTATAGAATAAAAAATTGTCTAATTAAGAAAATGAATGACGGATAAGAATTTTTGAAATAGAACTTCGGGAATTATTAATATTTTTAAATATAGAATGGAGGAATAGCGCAACAAAATAAAATTGAAAAAGTTAACTTTTGGTGCAAGGATATCTCGCGTAAAGGTCAGATTAAAAAAAAAATAATTAATGAAAGAGAAATAAATAAAGTATTTATAAAAGAAGAAATTTTGATATATCCGATTTTAGATATGGTAATTTTTGGTCGATTTGGTCCCTACCTTCCGAGAGCGAGGAAATTTTTTTCAATTTTTAAGGCTTAATCTTTAACTAAATACGATTTGTGATATTTTAATGTATCGTTAAAAGAATTTATTTTGGTTAGAGCTGAGAAAAAGTGTCAACTAACATACACACACACACACACACACACAAATCACATCATTATAAAATTAATTACTTCTCAGCTTCGCAATAGAGCTAAAAAATTCTTAGCGCAACTTTTATTATATATGTAATAGAATGCATTTTATGTATATATTTAATTTTTATCGAAATTGAAAACAATTTATTTTTACAACTATTCAACGAATAAGTTTTTAACTTCAATTTAATTATATATATTTACATAAAATTAATAAATTAATTAATTAATGTGAATTCACATTTATTCCAAACCCTACACTAAATTATAATGTAAGTCTAAAAGTCTAGCATTTGTTTCATAAAAGAGTAACATCTTCTTCTATAGTAACATTAATCCCAACTACTTGGGGTCGCCTATCCTTATCCTAAACTTCCGATTGACACGATCTCCCACATCCTCTACGCTCACATCAGCTGTCCTTATATCGCATTCGTATCTCTCCATCTCTTTTTTGGTCTTCCTCTACCTCTTCTTTCTTCAACTGTTCTTACGGCTTCTGATTTTTCTCTTCTCATAACATGACCAAACTATCTAAGTCTATATTTTCTCATTTTATCCTCGATTGACGCTACACCTATACTCCCTCTTATATGATCATTTCTTATCCTATCTTCTCTAGTCACTCCATTCATCCATCTAAGCATTCTCATCTCTGCTACATTCATTCTCTGCTCTACTTTCTTATCAACCGCCCAACACTCTGAACCATACATCATAGCTGGTCTCACTACAGTCTTGTAGAATTTATCTTTCAGCCTCATTGGAATTCTTTTATCGCATAAGACACTAAACGTTTCTCTCCACTTCAACCACCCACACTTAATCCTATGTCTTACATTTTCGTCAATATCAACCGCTCTTTTGCACAACTGATCCTAAATATTTAAAACTTTCCACCTCTCCAATCTTGCCCTCGCCTATTGTCATTGATCTCCTTATTTCATCTACCCCGTGTTCTACTTTAATAAACTCGTACTCTATATATTCTGTCTTACACTGTACTTATTCTTAAATCCTTTTCTTCAAAAGCTGATTTTCACACCTCTAGTCTTTGATTAATTTCTTCCTATTAACACTATATCGTCAGCAAACAACATGCACCTCGGCACCTCTCCTTGTATTTCTCTAGTAATTTCATTCATCACTATAGAAAATAAGTAAGGGCTTAAAGCAAAACCTTGGTGCACTCTTATTCTTACCCGAAAACCTTCTGTTACTCCTCCCATACTTTTTATCCTAGTACCAGTGCCATCATACATATCCTTTATTATATTAATGTACCTTTTCGGGACTCCTTTTCTCATTAATGCCCACTTTAGAACCTCTCTCGGTACTCTATAATACACTTTATTTAAATCTATAAATACTATACAAAGCTTTTTTTTTTCCCTAAACTTTTCTATTAGTTGCCTCACACAAAATAATGGCTCCATTGTTGACTTACCAGGCATAAATCCAAACTGGTTTTTAAATACCGATGTCTCATTTCTTTTCTCTTATCTATTATCTTTTCCCAAATTTTCATCTATGACTCATAAAAGAGTAACATAAAATATTAATTAACTTAATAGTACTGAAATAGTTTGTGTTATATATTTGTATCTATATTTATGTATTCAATACACTATATGAATAACTTGTGTAATTATTTAATTATTTTAGAAAACAATTAACTTGTTTTTTAATTTAATTGCCCATTGAATTTAATGCTTAATTTGTATATGATAATTTGAAATAAAATATTTTTTAGACGAACAGTTAAATTCATCATTCATAAATGATAAATATTCAAGATACCTTGAAGTATTGAAGTTCCTGCCGGAGCGTCTTCGCTTACTCTAGCAACTGGTGTGACAACTACAAATTCTGGTGGTTGATCTTCTACATCTTGAACTTTTACAAAAATAGCTGCTGTACCAGTGTTTCTCTGAAATTATTAAATTGAAATATTATTTAATAAAATAAAAATATTTAAAATGTCGAGCTAAATTTCTATTAATATACGAACTTTTTCCACAGTTGACCGATCAACGGCTAAAATTTTTAGCTGGTGTAATGAAGATTTCTCATAATCTAAACTTCCTACAAGGCGTATCACGCCTTGACCATTTACGGTGGAAATTGCAAATAGACCACTTTCTAGAGCATCTGTATCTTGAAGGTAGTATACCACCTACAATTTCAACATGACAATAAGTTAATTTAAAAACCATATTATTGTTTTTCATTTTTTTTTAATTCAAAAATTACTACTAAACAGTATAGAAACGGCTTATAATTTTTTTATACATTCTCTCAATTATGCGGGGATATATTTGTATTTTTCAGTGTGTATTATTCGTTTTGTTATTATTCTGGTTTAATGATTCCGAAATTCTAACTAGACTATGTTCATTGTGAACTTGAACTGAGGGTAATGGGCGACGAACCGTGAAACCCTATTTTTTTTATTTGAACGTATATTACTGTGTTGTTTTTACCTGTCCATACGGGCCTTCGTCTGCATCGGTAGCCTCGATTGTTGCGATCACTGTTGGCTGACTATCCTCTGGCACAAATATTGTATTTTGATATGGTTTAAAAACCGGCGCATTATCATTAATATCGTCCACAATTAACAAAAAACTCTGTGTTATAAAATTCCCCTCGCCTAATCGTCCATCTGTTAGTGTTAATACTAACAAATATTCATCTTTTACCTAAAAATATAAAAATGGCAAAAAACTCAGAGTATAGTCATCAATATTAGTGAAAATAAAAATAAAAATATCCTTATTATTACCTCACGATCGAGTTCAATTTTCAGGTAAATATAAGCTTCATTCTTGCTATGATTTTCAACCTTAATAATTTTATCTCCTGGTTCTCGGACGCCAAAAATAAGTTTGTCGCCATCGGGATCTATTCCACGCACACGGTATATTAGACTTCCTTTAAATAAACAGCATATATTTTTTGGTGTGAACAGATACAGAAATATGACGTATATATACATATCGGTTTATCTTACCAATAGGAGTTTCTGGCCCTTCTTTAAGCCGAACTATAATTTCAGTTTGCCAATTGTCCGTAACAAATTGGGGAGATCTATTAGCATCACAAATGTGTACCAAAGTGATGACTATCAATGACCAATAAGTTGTCCAATCATGCCAACAGACAACCATATTTTGCATTTAATCGATACATAATTTATAGTTTTTCAACTCGGCATGTTAATTAACATGATTGTTATCTTGAACATTTGATATTACTGATAAAAATAAGTACATAACTAAATTATTATTTAATAGAAGATATTTTTGATTTATACAATTTGATGCAAAAAAAATAAATTATTATACTAAAAAATATTAGTTAAATTGATTTTCATGGTTTACATTTATATATACAATTGACTTGTCTTGTCTACATATTACAATAAAGAAAATACTTTGAATTTTTTATAATATACTATTCCGTTAAAATAGTTATATTATATGTTATTTATTTGTCTATTATTTGTTAATAAACAGTTAGACTGCAATCATTACAACTGGAAAAACGGATTCGTAGTTAGGTTATTATATCTCTTGGTATAGTAATTTGTAAGGAAATTGGTTGACTAATAAATAGTGTAAACGAGTATGTGATAGAGACCATGTAGCTTTAGGTGGTAAGCAAATGATAATACAAAAAAAAATATATAGGTTAACAACGTGATAGAGTATGGCATGGTTGAATGATTTATGACATGATTGCTGATGATTCATGATGACTATGAACAAATTATTTGTATATAAAAATATATTGTGAATTATATACTTAGAGGATGAAGTGGATAAACTCTTAAACGTGGGACTCCATTATTCTTCAGGAAGGAACACCTGTGCTTTTTTACATATACTACTAAATGAATGGAACAATTAAAAAAATAACACCAAATATTATAACATAAATTAATATTAAGTAAACATTTAGTACATTAGTTAATAGTTTTTTTTTTACTATAAAATTAACTTTTTAGTGCCAGACATAAACTCACAGAACTTACTATTTTGCCCAGTCAAAATAGTAAGTAATAATTATTTTTTATTTTTTTCAAGAATATTAATCTTTAAATAGAATTAAATATAAAAAAATGTTTTGTGTATTTCTCAAGCGTGAATCAATTTTGACATATGCGGCATAAATCAACAATTAATTAACTGATATCATGTTTTATCAATATACAATAAAACATAACTCTACATTAAATAGAATTTTAAAATGAGTATACTTGATAAAGTCAAAAAAATTTGGTGTCATGGTTCTATCAATTTTTGTTCATAAATTAGAAATTAAAAATTAAAATAAGTATATCATTTTCGATAAACGCGCCACTTAAGAAAAGCTGATGGATATTAAATCCATATATTCGGTATCATATTAATTGTCGTTATTATTTCATACACCGAAGACTTTTATTGTAGCATAATCATCTTTTTTACGTAATTTTCATCTCTCATTATTTATCATTTTTTTGAAAAATACAATTTTTGATAATAATAACTGTCATTTTATGGATAATTATAACGTCATTGATGTTTACAATATATATATATGTTAATTAGTATAACTGTTAATTTGATATAATTTTATCATCATTGTATTATTTAATTGCTATATTTTGACTAATTATCAATGAATGACCATCAACAGTATTAAAATAATTCTTGTGTTTTATAACTTAACTTAACATACTGCAATGAATAAATATTATTCTAAAAATCAGTACAATCAATGAATCAATCAAAATATTATAATGAGAAAAATATTAGTACTACTAAATTCTGGTTATTATCATTAATCCAAAAATTATCACAAATGATACAATTACTAATATCTACTGTATTTTTTCAGTATATTGAAACTACCATCAGTACTAACTTAAGCGTTAAAAATAAAAAACAAAATTATCTTCAAAAAATTTTTTAATTGTTTCCTTAGATATATTTTTTCTGTTTATTAAACATATTTTATTATTTAATTGTAAGAATTATATCATATAAAAAATTACTACTTTGTTTAGAATGTTTTCGAAAACAGAAATTTATAAAATTATAATATTTTAAAGAGCACATGTTATTTATTTTTAACAATTAGATATATTTTTTGTAGGGCAAAAATTCTATTACGTTACTCAATGTAAATTTAATAATTAAACAATTACTATTTCAAATTAGAAAATTAATAAAAAAATACAATAATTTATTAAATATGATCAGATAAATAATATGTTAAAATTGTAATGATTTTCAACCGTGAAACTATAACTTGTTAAAATACATGAATGAAAATTAATTGCATCAATATTTGAATAATACTAAGTATCAATGTAAACTAATTTGTTTGGTAAAAAATTGAATAATAATTGATATTATGAAGTTAATCCTTCAGATTTTCATTTTAGGAAGCCTTAGTTCAACCAATATCTTCTCAAGTACCAAATTAAAGGTCTTTTTTGCTAATACTACATAACATTTTGGAAAGTAATAAATGAAGAAAAAAGATTTTTCTCGGCTAACACGTCTTCTAAGTCATAATCTTAGGGTACTGCCTCTAATTGTACCAAATGCAAATACCTAACACACTACGTATATTACTTTTTTGTCATTTAATTTAACTTTGTGCTTTTTTAGATTAATTAATTTGATCCAATTCACACATTTCTAAGATGTGCAAATAGATTTTGAACAATTTCGCAAATGTTTAGAAAACAGACGAACAACAATCCGTGATGATGATTAGTACGATTTATGACCTATAGGTACTTACATCGTGCACCACGAAAACACCATAATACGAATGATGTTTAGATAACTGTTTTGCGCTATTATTACTATGATAGTTAAAAACAAGCATTCGTGATAAATTATTGATATATAATTGATATATTATATATATAGAATCAGACAGATATAATTGGCAACTCTTATAACTTTTGATATAATTTTTCTCTTTTTTCTTTTTAAATAAATTTTTAAAACATAGATAATTTCAAAATTATCATTAATAACTTTTTTCTATTACATAAAAAAAAACAATTTTTAATCTAAATTATTATATAAGTTTAGTTTTAAAGAATAATTTTAATATCAACAACTCTTATTTTAGTTCATCCGTTAAATTTCTACAGCTTTTTGAACTTAGTTATTAAAATATTAATAAACCTGTTTAGTTTCGTTGCGAAACTGAGAAGGTATTAAAAATCGTCAATGATAACCATACATGAAAAGTAATCATGCTTTTTTTGTATCTGACCTTGAAAATTCCCAGCTTTCATTAGACTAAATTTAACTTATCAATAAATTTAAAAAAGAGAATTTAATATAGTTGATATCACTTAATAAATTGAAAAAAAAAATATCTTAATATAGTTGTGTAAAATCTCGAAATATGGCAATATTTTTAATCAGTTCATTTACATGTCCATGACTTAAATTTTTTCATAATAAAATGAAATATAAAAATAAAAAACATATTTTTAGAATGTACTTCAATAACTTCTTTTAAATAAGCATATTAAAAGCTTCTTTTAAAATTTGAATATTTTTATGGATTCTTAAGTTTCTAAACACAATCAAAATATTAAAGATTTTCAATGACTTATTATAAAAACTGACAGATATATTATCCGGATTAATTAAAATTTCGTGTTAAAACTCTTTTGTTCTGATGAGAAATTTTAAGTTATTCACGTGAATACCAAAATTACATTTTTGAAATGAAAGTAATCTGAAATAAGCTAGACGTATACGTTATCATATATATAAATATTAATTGTTAAATTAAAAATAAATACGTGCTTAAGTCTTAACATTTTATTTGGTACAAAACTTGCAAAAAAAAAAAAGAAAAATTTTATATGTTCTGACATTATCAATTTGTTTTCTATTACGGTACTGAAATAACTCTAAAACACAAAATAAGCAAATTTCTCCTTATTTTTGAAATATTTAAATAATAAAGTTATAACATAATATCTTTTTATAAAAAAATATATATTGAAACAGTGCGTATTATTAAAAAAAATTAATAATTAAGTTTTTAAGTTTTAATTATATTCACTTAAATGATACTTCTTCATTAAATAAAACAATATTACATGTAAAAATAATAATAAGTAAATATACAACTGATTAATAAAGATTTATCTTTCAAAACTTTAAATTTCAAAATAAAAATATGCTAAAATTTCAGTTTTTAAATTTTTTAGTATAAATTTTGTTTATAAAATTAGTTTTTAGCATTAAATTTATAGTCTTCATTCAATAAGTATTAATTTTTTTAATTATAAGTGGTGAAATATTTAAAAGTATATTCATTTGTACATATAAATGGTAACAATTTTATTTATTTAAATGAAAACGTAAATATTTTTTAACATTTAATCTATTCAAATCTTTATTTTATCATTAAAAAATAAAGTTGGTGTCCTTATAAGGAATAAGGGATAGGCATATAAAATATTTAACAACTTATTAATCGATAAATAAATAATACTAAGAAAAACCAAAAAAAAAAGAATTTCAACAATTTTTTTTAAGCACATTTTAAAATGTACTGAATCCACGAATTGATAAATCAAGCCCTGAATTTTAAAACTTTACTTCAATGAAAATACTTACAAACGAAACTATATTATATTGCCAACACTTCAAATGTATACTTTTGGTAACTCTAATTTCTTTAATAAAATCATCACCATGTTTGAAGGCGAAATTAACTTAGAACGGATAAATTAACTTTTCTGGGACACGTATCCCTAGTCTAAAGTTCAAAATATTTTTTCGATTTTACAACAATAAGAAATAAAAGCTTCGGGGCAATTTGGCTTATTAAACGTAACGGACATGATATTTAATTTCGTCTTTCTATATGCTGATTATTTTCTAAAAGCTTTTTTTATGTTTTTTATATTATTTTATTTTCTACTTTTTAATACATTTTATTTTGTTACATTATAATTATTCTATGAAATCGTAGACTTCTACAGACACCCAAATTATTTAAGCAAGGAACGCAATACAATGGAGGATACAAAGATACTCCAATTTTATACATTAGCGACAAAGTATTTTTTTTCCAATCCCTGGTATTCACACCCTTAGCACATACTGTGTCTTTGTATTGAGTAAGCGCTGTTCATGACATGAGATTTGACACAATTGAAGTTATATAATATAAATTACATAATAAGTATAATTATATAACTATATAGGGTTTTCAGTA